CCCCCCGAATTTCCTGTCTACTCTGCAATTATAATTGCACATGGGAGTGAACAGAAACAAAATAAAGTTGACTTCAAATCAGATATCATACATTTTATTACTTCCCAAAAAACAGGTTGGGATAGTTCATCTTCACTTTGGGACAATTGAAATTTACTTTTGGGACAGTGCTGGGACAATAGGAAGAAAAGTTTGAGATACACACAGATACACAGACTGACAGGCACATAGACCAAGACAACACTTTGTCCCACTGGGGGTAAAGCAAAAAGTGAAAGGTCTTCAAATGCTATCAGGCATCAACTATTCAGATTCAAAAATTCCTAGATTTGATTGCACATCTTTCCCAAAAATCACTTCCTCCACATAGCATAAGGCTTACCCATAACACATTAAGAGGTCAGTTCATAACCTTTCACAAGACAGGAACAATATAAATTCTAGAACATAAAAGAAGCCCCTTTAGTTCCTAAAAATGTCAAATCGATAAAAACCACAAGTAGAGTTCAATAAAACTTGCTATGACAAGACTGAATCAGCAGAATAAAGGCACCTGAATTTACACCTGAATACGCACAAACAGAAATATACCCAGCACTTCCTCTTCTTTTGCAAATAAAGCTTGCATCACTTCTGTTAAATGTGGCCTGGTCAGCTTACAAAGCAGGAACTTCCCTCTACTGTCACAAAAACAGGTGTGTGTGTGTGTGTGACAGTAAAACCCGACAACCTTCAGTACGGGCCACCTACATTTGTATAGCTGCTTTACAGACCATTTTTCACAATCATGATGTATTACTTGTTAGGACTTCTTGCAGCAACAGCTCTCCTACAAGAAACAGTTTCTTATCATGAGGACAATCCAGGCAAAGGCACCTTCTTAGCAACTGGTAGGGAAGTGGTAAAGACCTTCCCCAAAGAGTTCCTGAAACACTGTGTCCGACAGAGGAACACCTCCGTGTACTGCAGCAGGAGTGGGCTGAGTAGTGTACCTCGAGGAACACCCAAAACAACCAGGTTCTTACATCTCAGTCGGAATAACTTCCAGGCTATTGGTAAGTACAGAGCTACATGTAACATAAGTAGGCTATACACATTGTACAGTAATTGTCGTGAGTTACATAGTTTATGTTGTATATTCTTACTATCTAACTTACTGCGATGGAGGTGTGTTATTCCTTATGCTAAAGTTTCATTGCATAAACATACACCGCAACTTCCCCTTCTCTGCTCTTCCAAATACACATTTTGAGGACCAATCTTCAGGATTTATATGTAAAAAATGATATTGAGTTGGGTTCTGCACGAAAATGTTTACTATTGATATTGTATATATTTGTTCCCTTTATCAAGATACAGACTTGTGTTTATTGATATGATGACAACATACAGAAGTAACAAAAATAACAACTATGGCATTGTTTGTTAAAGTCATGGTTATTGATGCTTAGCCTTATTGTCATCATGTGATTCAAAGGGAATAAAATGTTTACGCTTGGAAATCATGCTCCTTTACACCCTATCCTTTCTGTAATACTAAAAGATTTCTCCTCTTTCAGGTCCCCACACGTTTCCACCCTCCCTGTGTTGGAGTATCTGGACCTGAGTTGGAACAACCTCTACTCCATCCAGAACCACACCTTCTACAACATCAACCACCTCAAGATCCTCTATCTCAACAACACCCTTCTCCAGACTATACAAAACGGAGCCTTCGCCGATCTTCAGAACCTAGAAGTACTGGGATTGGCCGGGACAAGAGTCTCCGACCTAAGCAACCCTGATTTCCTCACGGCCAACTTGAAGAACCTACGGTCCCTTTCCTTCGCAAACAGCAGCATCAAAGTCTGCAAACTCGGAAAGGCCTTCCGAAATCTTATGGCACTCAGGCACCTAGATTTAAGAAAGAATTTGATTTCCCAACTAAGTATAGACTCATTCGCCTCTTTGGCAGGATCACCACTCGAAACTTTAGACCTGTCTTTTAACAGGATTGCTATCATCGGAGAGCCAGCGTTTTGGCCGTTTCAAAATATAACCAACATACTGTTGACTGGGAACAAGTTGACAGTTAGAGAGCTCAACACTACTTTCAAGAACTTAGGAAAGATTAACACCCCTGGGCTTAGCTTATCCCTAGGAAGTTGCTCTCTAGATAGTCTCTCTAGAGATACTTTTAAACCTTTGGCAGACGTTCCTGTAATGATGCTAGACTTGTCCAATAACAAGATACAGAAGTTGCAGAGTAAGGGAATGTTCCGGTACCTACCAAAACTTGAGACTCTCCTGATGCATAACAATAACATAACCTCACTGAAGGGAGATGAGTTCACGGGACTGGGCAATCTGAAGACTTTAAATATGTCAGGAAATGAGCTGCCAACCATCGTAAACGGGTCCTTCTCTACACTAGGTAATCTGACTAGCCTGTATGTAACTCTGGAAGCTCGTAGGTCTGTTATAGAGAGAGGTGTTTTCTCGGACATGCCGTATCTGAGAACGCTGTATATATCAGGACCACCAGAGGAATTCGCGATACGAGAATTTGCGAAGAACAGTTTGGCTGGGCTCCTGTATCTGGAAAAACTGATCGTGAAGTGGCATGACCTAAACAAAGTGCCAACAACGGCCCTAAGGAGTGTTCGGTCAACCTTGCGAGTCTTAATTTTACAATACGGTTCCATCAACAAAATCTCTCCAAACTCTTTTCATGGTTTTCCTCTTCTGAAGCATTTGAAGCTGAGCAATAACAGACTCAACTCCCTGCCACCATACGGCTTTGCTGGTCTTCACAACCTGACTTTTCTTACCGTAAACGACAATTTCATCACAAAAATCCACAGCGAGACATTTTATGGTCTACCTTCTCTGAGAGTCTTGGAGTTGAACAAGAATCGGTTGTGTCTTAAAGCATCTCAACCCCTCCTTCCTCCATTTACTTCCTTGTCAAACCTTGTATCTCTCAACCTAGGAGGCCAGTCTTATCAGTGTTACAAAATCCATGGCATCAACTCATTCCCTAAGGACTACTTCAAGGGACTTGTCAACTTGAAGAAGCTTGATCTTCAACACAACAACTTAAGAATGATGCTCTATTCTGAAGAAACAAGCAATCCATTTGAAAACCTGACCAGTTTGAAGACCCTAAACCTTCGACACAACGAGTTCCACAATATGAGCCCCGCTCCTTTCAAGAACTTGTCACATTTGGAGTCACTCGACCTGTCTCAGAACAGACTTAGTGTTATACCCATTGCAGTATACAAGCAATGGAGAAACCTCCGTAAACTCTTCCTACAGCTAAACCAGCTTCAAATGGTTACCGAGAAAGGACTGGGCTCGCTGAAGAACCTACAGGACTTAAACCTGGAGTACAACACTCTCAACTGTGCCTGTAACCTTGAGTGGCTGATCAAATGGGTCAGTGAAAACCAAACCCAAGTTGTGTTCCACAACCTCGCCAACTACTTCTGCGCCTACCCAAGATCAGACCGCCGGATCACCATTCTGAACTATGACCTGGAAGCAGAAAAGTGCCACAGCCAGCTGCGATACTACGCCGCCATTCTCTCCAGCGTTTTCATCCTCGTTTACATGATGGCCATTTTTGTGATGTACCGTAACAGATACTACATCGAGTACGGCTGGTACTTACTCAGGTCAAAGGCGAAAGGTCGTCCCAAAGCCCCCCTCGGTAAGCGAAAAATTTACCACGCCTTCATTTCCTACAACGGCAGGGATTCGAAGTGGGTCACAAGACGCCTGGTGCCGAAACTCGAGCAAGAAGAGCCGCGGTTAAAACTATGCATACACGAGAGAGACTTTACTGGTGGAGTCTCTATCGTAGAAAACATCATTACGAACATACAGAAGAGCAGGAAGGTGGTCTGTCTGGTCACCAGGAATTTCCTGAAGAGTGGTTGGTGTAGAGAAGAGTTCCACCTGGCTCAAATGGGCTTGTTTGAAGACGGAAACGATGTCCTGATCCTCGTCCTGTTGGACAACATCCCGGAACACTACCTCTCCACCTACGTTCGACTGAGGAAGCTCATGTGCAGGAAAACGTACATAGAGTGGCCCACAGACCCGAAGGAGGAGCCACTGTTTTGGAGGAGGCTGAGGGAAGCTTTAGAAACAAGCAATGTTCCCAAACAGCAGAGGCGCACTGCTGCATATGGTGCAATTGTAATGGAAGACGAAGAACTGGAAAGCTTGCTATAATACATGTATATGGGACAATATACAAACTGACAAGTAATGTATCCACTAGTTACTTGTGCATTGGGCAGAACTTTCTCTAAACAGGACTGTTAAATTCTTTGAAACTCATTTGATTCAGGAAATTAGCAACATCATCCAACAGTAGGCAATGTGAAGAAGTCAGAAAAGACAGACAGACAGACAGGAAAGACAGAAAAATAAATCTGTATCAAAAAGAATATGCGTATAAAAAGAATGATAAACCCATAGCATTCCAACTGCCTTGGTATATAAGAACACCAGCTGAACAACAAACATCAATAGTTTAAAACTCCATTGCAGATGTATTGATTTCTTCCAAATAGCAGAAGTAAACACAATCACCACTACAGTTATCTGATTTGTTTTCACTTTGATTAAAAATGCTGCCACGGTGCCACTGCAATTCCATTTTATGTTGTTTTCGGAAGATTTCTTAAAAACGTTTTGTTTGCTAGTAGTACTAGTCTACATCCAAGTTACTAGTACTAGTAAATAAATGTAGATACATAATAAAGCACCCCACAGCTGAGCTTACCTTTTTCAGGATCGTACGCCTCATCATCCTCATCCCTGTCATCATCCATGTCCTCATCCAGCATGTACCTGGGGGGTGGTCCTGGAGGGGGCCGGGGGAGGGACCAGGAGGGGGGCCTGGGGGTTTCTTACCGAGGGGGAGTCCCTGGGGGAGGCCTGGAGGGGGGCCAGGGGGTGGCCGGTCATATCTGTAGTAAGGAAAGTTAGTGCAAAAAACATCAATGAACTTTCAATGGTGTTAACAATACAGGGCTTGAAATACAGGGTGCATGTTTACCTTAGTGTACCCAAATTTGGAGCTGTACACCCAATTTTTGTACAAGTATTTTTTGTAGGTTTACATATGTAACGGAGGGGGCCCCGAGTTCGCCACTTTTAAACATAAATCACACATTTCAAAGGAAAATTCCATGAACCTCTTGATGATATATGGCCATGTCGAAAGAGTTTTTGTTAGACATTTTACATACGTGTTACCATGGTGATTGATCGAACGTTGAGGTCAAGGGTCAACCTTCTACTTTGCGACGTAACTAGGGCGGTAGTTCCAAGGGTGTACCCCGAGTTCGCCACTTTTTATAATTTGTCAGGAAGTATCAAAATATGGATTGAAAGTGTTTTTTAGCCTTTGGATTTTATTCCTAGAGTTAACGCTTACTCGTTTGGGGGTAGTAAAACAAATACTTTGTGGCGCATCGGAACGAAACGCGCCATTTATTTGGACGTAACAAGGTCGGTCCTCTGCGACGTAACTGTGGGTCATGTTCGGCGTTCCAGAGTCCAGCATATTACTGAACCATGAATATACAAGTGGGCTTTTGAGTATTTATTTGATATAATGTTACTTTTATCATGCTACCAACGTAAAACTGAAACTTACAGCTTTGATCAAGAGTCCATACCAACATCTATTTAACGGCGCATAAGTGAAGGGTTGCAATGTGTTGCGTATGCTGCTCACGGCAACTTGTTCCAGGAAAGAACGTACAGTACAGCCTACGTTACAGTTGCCACTTTGTCGCAGGAATACCCCGAAATTAACGCGGGAATACGGCTAAAATGTCCTTGGTTAGATTTGGCAGGGAGAAGCGTAATTACGGAAAAATACAGCGTGACTTTTGCGTTAATACCACGAGATCCTGCTACACTCATATGCGCAGCACGGCAACTTCAGAGAAATGGAGGGCGGAGCACTCTTTGTGGATTATCCCGCCCCTTCTCACCGGCACGACGCGAGGTCCTACGTTTCAGCAGCATTCCCATCGGCCTGAACTGTTGCGGGCGTCCAGACACCAGCACCCGTCGAGCAGGAGCCTGGAGAAAGAAGTTGTTGTTGTTTTTTTGCTACCGTCCGGGGACGTTATTTTTCCCTACATTTTTTTTTGGTTTGTGGATGGGGGCAGTGGATTTGGTGATATAATAGCATCAAGGAGAGTAGACTACGTTGTTGTTCACACCTCAAAACAGTTAACTCAATTATTCCCTTTTCCTGTTTTCAGGTACGCTGTTTTAAATGAAGTACTTTGCGGCGCATCGGAACGAGAGACGTGGGTAAGTTTCCGCCGACGTAAGGGGACTGTTCTTGCCGGTGCCGCGGCGCCGCTCGCCACGTTCTAAACCACGTCAGCGCTGATTGACCGCCCATCGGTGAGCAACAAATGATCGAGGCGGAGAAGTGGGAATGGTCGGAGAATTTATGTGCTAGCGTATTTAAAATTTGACACCGAAACCAAAACAACAACGAAGGGCTACCGGGACATGCAATTCTGAACGGAGAGAGCGAAAAAGTTCTTTAAAATATCTCGTTTAGTAAACTACTGCTCATGTCACAAAATCAAAGGAATAAAAACTTCCCAGCATGAAAAGCTTCTGGCCGCTGGCTTCCCACGTTGCGTTGCCAAGACGACGGCACGTCCTGGTCAGACAAAGCGGCGTCACGCCCACAGCAGCACGCACATGGGCCCTACCCACCGGCGGGCAGCAAAATATTTCAAAGACTTCGCCCGAAAAACCCTATCATTGTAGGGCCATGCCGTGTACACCTACCCAGCATTTTAACGTAGTACTGGCTGGTATAGTCCCGCTACAAAATAATTTTCTGCGGCATCTATTAATATTTAAAGACATTTGTGATACGAAGTGAAAAGATTTCTGTCATTTGAACCTGTGTAACGGCTTGGATATAACATTTGTTGAATATTTCTGTGTTTCACTAGAGCCGAAAGTGCATTAGAACTGACCATCAGGTGAAGCACAACTGTCATGTTATAACGTTATTCACTACGTTACGACGATCAAGAACAATCACGGCTTGCGGACCATTTTAAATCTTACCACTCATAACCCTCTTAGAATTGCGTTCATACTTACGGGGGTATTTCTTTTCGGCCGGGGTTCAACTGAGATCGGCGGCTGGCTGGCGACCATCCCGTCAGCATGACCGAACACCGCGACGTGAGTGACCTAGATTATCTTACCGTGCGTCTTCTCGTTTTGCCGCAATTTCGTGTCAATATCGATGATACACAAATGGAATACGTTCCTTTATTAAAGTTGAACTTTTATTTCCACTCGTCAACATTATCATCCGACATGTTATGTACGAATCGATGTCGTGCGCTTCAATTCTCCTTGCCGGTTTTTCGCTATATT